TTCCAGCTGAGCTCCATCGCAGCCCGTCACACCCCCCTCAGGCTTCTCCTCCGAGCGACGCCGGTCTGGTCTGCTCGTGCGAAAGCCGCTCCAGCCCCTTCACCATTCTCCTGGCCCTCCGCCGTGTCTCTCCATTTCGACTGGGTCTCTCCCGCGGGGACGTGACCAGACCTGCCTGCGCCCCACCAGGCCTGGGCGCCCCGGGGGCTTAGGCAGAGCCATGGCCGTGTGTTCTGTCTGATGATCACACCCTTCCCTCATTACTTGGCACTCTGTCTGCGTCTCTGGCCGCCGCTGCCCCCGTTGTTCTCTGTGTGTCGTCGGGGTTAGGGATGTTAAAACGGTTGAAACATACTCACCGTGTAACCGATTACAGTTCCGTCGATTACAGATCATTTATTCTGCCATTCTGTTGCCCAGTTCACGGAGTGTGGGGGAGCCACCGGGCCCTGCACCCCCTGTCCGGAGCCAGATGTGACTCTCCGCCAGCGAGTAGAAGAAGGTTTATTTCATTGACAAAGACACAGCTTAGCACAAACTTGTGGTTACAGGAACCAGGAACAGTCAGTACAACCCATCTTAGGATAAGGGGGCCCAGAGCGAGAGCCCTGGGCCCTTGCCGGGCCCCCCAAACCGGCCCAAAAATAAACTCACACACTTAGCAACTGGTCTCAACCCTCTGGCAGCCCTGCCTCCTCCTTTGTCCTGTCTCCTAAGGTGTTATCTGCTGTCAGCTGGTCCTCAGGACCTGTGAAATTGACATACTTTTGACATACTTCCACGGTGAGTCATGCTCAGCCTCCCCTTCCTCACCCAGATACTATTGCAGTGCCCAGGGAAACTGAGGCACGCATGTACACACAGAGTTACTACAGACCAGCACGGGCCAGTAGAGTCACACACAACACAACAATGCAAACAGAGCGAACACAAAACAGAGTGAATACAGGAGTGAATACGGCCCCCACTGCGGCACACCCAGTTTTGGATCCCTTTGGAACTCTTCGCAGCAGGCTTTGGACTTAACGAACAGGGCGATGGTCCCTTGAAATAAGGGGCAGGTGGTCCCCACGGTGCCTGCCCAGAGGAATATTTACCTTCTCGGTCTGCAGAGCCTCAGCTAGTGAAGTTTCTCCCCGGAGCTAAGAATGAGACAGAAATCACAGCTCGTGTGTGACAGCGAGACAGCTCCACTGTGCTCTCCCCGTCTGAATCAGAATTGCTCAGGTGTGTTTCATAGCCCCTACACTGCTAGCCGCTGGCAGGGATTCTTCTTTAGCTCACGTAGTGCGAGGGCCAGGTCTGAGCTCCATCCCCACTGCTCCCAGGAAGACCCTGGTGTGCCACGTGGCGACAAATGTGAAGTCCTGCGTGGAGGTAGAATTGTGACAACTGTAGCCCAAAAGCATCTCTGTGCCGAATAGCTACCTCCCGGACCCTGGGGAGCCAAGATTCATCGATCAGAAGAACATGGGGGTTGCTGTGGTCTGATTTCCTGTGTCACTGAGGACTGCCCAGAATTAATTCCGCTTTGAAAGAAGGAAGATCTTTCAGAAAAACAAGCAACCCAGATAGGAACACGGTCAGTAAATTGGCCCAAAGGTGAGTTACCCTCAGTGTTAAAATTGCACTTTCTTCCCTGCCTGAATTTGCCTCGCTTCAGCTTCCGGCCCGTGGGGCCTGTTAGACCTTTGCTTGACGAGATCCCGCTGTTCCCCCATCTCTGCCCCGATGTGGGTACTCACTGGCTGCAATCGACGCACCCCTCCTCTCTGTCGGGCTGGACAGAGGGAGCACCTGGAGTCTTGCGCTGGAAGGCTGCGTTTCTAGCCCCTTACCCCTTCTCGTAGCTCTGCTCTGCCCCCCTCCGATTTACCAACGGCCCCCTGGAATTGTGGGCACGGGGTCCTGGCAGAGGTTGTTCCCGTGCTCCCTACGGAGGTGATAGAACCTCCCTTCTGCTCGAGAGGCCTCTGCTGATGTACCCTGCCCTGCATCTTATGAGCCCTTTTCTACCACAGCTGTGTCTTGAGCGCTCCTGTTTGGGTGACTGCCCTCTGTGACCCCCCCCCCACACACACACACCGTCTTTTGCAGAGTCTCTGCTTCCCAGGGGAGAAGTCTCCTGTCACAGTCCCCGAAAGGGTTATTGATAAAAGAAAGAAAAGGTTGAGAGTAGAATGGTTAAAGGAATCACATTACACGATCTGATCGCAAGGTCCCTGGTGCTGGCTTGTAGCAGAGGTGGATCAATCTGCTATCTTGTAAGTCCCTGGAATCCATCCTTTAGGGGTCACCCAATGAAATGAATAGGTAGCAGGTTCAAAACAAACAAAAGGAAGTTTTTCTTCACACAGCGCACAGCCAACCTGTGGAACTCCTTGCCGGAGGATGTTGGGAAGACCAGGACTTTAACGGGGTTCAAAAAAGAGCTAGATAGATTCATGGAGGTTAGGTCCATCAATGGCTATTAGCCAGGATGGGTAGGAAAGGTGTCCCTAGCCTGTTTGTCTGGAAATGGGCGACAGGAGAGGGATCACTTGATGGTTCCCTGTTGTGTTCCCTCCCTCTGGGGCACCTGGCATTGGCCACTGTCGGCCGACAGGACACTGGGCTGGGCGGACCTTTGGTCGGACCCAGTCTGGCTGTTCTGATGTTCTTATCCTCTGTGCAGGAAGGGCATCAGTGTTCCGGCAGCCGCCCTGGCTTCCAGGCCGGTGTGAACGTTCACAGCGAAGTTCCTCGGATGCGGAGTGGCACCACGTTCGGCCCATTGTCAGTCAGGCTGCCCTTCCACCTCAGGCTGGCCAAGCCTGTTGGTGTCCCCCAGAAGCAAGCCAGCCCGGAGCCCGCATGGCTTCGAACACACAAATGCTCTCCGCCTAGGAGCAGTGGGAGCAGGACCAGCGAACCGTTTGCTTTCCATGGACACCCCGCTGGGCCCACGTTGTCCCAGAGTTGGTGCACGCATAGAACAGTCATTGCAACAGTGTCTTGTTTGTTCATATTACAGTCCAAACATGTCACAGCCCAGCTTAGGAACGGTCTCTAGGAGGGCCCCTTCCAAGAGGCCA